GGGCCTTCGGTGGAGCTCCCTATGGGGCTACGAAACGCTGCCCTGGGTGGGGGAACCGCATGCGAACACCCCCACTGGGGCCTTCGGTGGAGCTCCCTATGGGGCCACGAAACGCTGCCCTGGGTGGAAAAGCGCATGCCGAACTGCGCCACGGGGGCTTTTCGGTCTGGACTCCCCATGGGGCCACGAACGCTGGCCCTGGGGTGCGGGCACGCTATGCGAGGGCAGCCACTGGGGGCCCTCCGGTGGAAGCTCCCCGAAATGGGCCACGAAACGCTGCCCTGGGTGGGGGAAATCCGCATGCGGCGAGCAGCCACTGGGCCGTTCGTGTGAGCCCCCTATGGGCCACGAAGCGCTGCCCCTGGGTGGGGAACCGCATGCGAACACCCCACTGGGGCCTATTCGTGGAGCTCCTTGTGGGGCCAGCAAACGCTGCCCTGGGTGGGGGAACCGCTTGCAACTGCGCCACTGGGGCCTTCGGTGGAGCTCCATGGTGCCATCGAAGCCTGCCCCTGGGTGGGGACAAAACGCAAATGCGAACTGGCCGCCACGGGGGCCTTCGGGGAGCTCCCCATGGGCCACGAAACGCTGCCCTGGGTGGGGGAACCGCATGCGAACTGCGCCTCTGGGGCCTTCGGTGGAGCTCCCTATGGTGCCACGAAACGCTGCCCTGGGTGGAAAAAGCGCATGCGAACTGCGCCACGGGGGCTTTCGGTGGAGCTCCCCATGGGGCCACGAAGCGCTGCCCTGGGTGGGGGAACCGCATGCGAGGGCAGCCACTGGGGCCTCCGGTGGAGCTCCCTATGGGGCCACGAAACGCTGCCCTGGGTGGGGGAACCGCATGCGAACACCCCCACTGGGGCCTTCGGTGGAGCTCCCTATGGGGCTACGAAGCGCTGCCCTGGGTGGGGAACCGCATGCGAACACCCCCACTGGGGCCTTCGGTGGAGCTCCCTATGGGGCCACGAAACGCTGCCCTGGGTGGGGGAACCGCTTGCGAACACCCCCACTGGGGCCTTCGGTGGAGCTCCCTATGGGGCTACGAAACGCTGCCCTGGGTGGGGGAACCGCATGCGAACACCCCCACTGGGGCCTTCGGTGGAGCTCCCTATGGGGCTACGAAACGCTGCCCTGGGTGGGGGAACCGCATGCGAACACGCCCACTGGGGCCTTCGGTGGAGCTCCCTATGGGGCCACGAAACGCTGCCCTGGGTGGGGGAACCGCACGCGAACACCCCCACTGGGGCCTTCGGTGGAGCTCCCTATGGGGCCACGAAACGCTGCCCTGGGTGGGGGAACCGCATGCGAACACCCCCACTGGGGCCTTCGGTGGAGCTCCCTATGGGGCCACGAAACGCTGCCCTGGGTGGGAACCGCATGCGAACACCCCCACTGGGGCCTTCGGTGGAGCTCCCTATGGGGCTACGAAACGCTGCCCTGGGTGGGGGAACCGCATGCGAACACCCCCACTGGGGCCTTCGGTGGAGCTCCCTATGGGGCCACGAAACGCTGCCCTGGGTGGGGGAACCGCATGCGAACACCCCCACTGGGCCTTCGGTGGAGCTCCCTATGGGGCTACGAAACGCTGCCCTGGGTGGGGGAACCGCATGCGAACACCCCCACTGGGGCCTTCGGTGGAGCTCCCTATGGGGCTACGAAACGCTGCCCTGGGTGGGGGAACCGCATGCGAACACCCCCACTGGGGCCTTCGGTGGAGCTCCCTATGGGGCCACGAAACGCAGCCCTGGGTGAGGGAACCGCATGCGGGCTGTGCCACTGGGACCTTCGGTGGAGCTCCCTATGGGGCCACGAGACGCTGCCCTGGGTGGGGGAACCGCATGCGGGCTGTGCCACTGGGACCTTCGGTGGAGCTCCCTATGGGGCCACGAAACGCTGACCTGGGTGGCGCTCTACCGAAATGTGGACACCCCCACTGGGGCCTTCGGTGGAGCTCCCTATGGGGCCACGAAACGCTGCCCTGGGTGGGGGAACCGCATGTGGACACCCCCACTGGGGCCTTCGGTGGAGCTCCCTAAGGGGCCACGAAACGCTGCCCTGGGTGGGGGAACCGCATGTGGACACCCCCACTGGGGCCTTCGGTGGAGCTCCCTATGGGGCCACGAAACGCTGCCCTGGGTGGGGGAACCGCATGTGGACTCCCCCACTGGGGCCTTCGGTGGAGCTCCCTATGGGGCCACGAAACGCTGCCCTGGGTGGGGGAACCGCATGTGGACACCCCCACTGGGGCCTTCGGTGGAGCTCCCTATGGGGCCACGAAACGCTGCCCTGGGTGGGGGAACCGCATGCGAACACCCCCACTGGGGCCTTCGGTGGAGCTCCCTAGGGGGCCACGAAACGCTGCCCTGGGTGGGGGAACCGCATGCGAACACCCCCACTGGGGCCTTCGGTGGAGCTCCCTATGGGGCCACGAAACGCTGCCCTGGGTGGGGGAACCGCATGCGAACACCCCCACTGGGCCCTTCGGTGGAGCTCCCTATGGGGCCACGAAACGCTGCCCTGGGTGGGGGAACCGCATGCGACCCCCCCCACTGGGGCCTTCGGTGGAGCTCCCTATGGGGCCACGAAACGCTGCCCTGGGTGGGGGAACCGCATGCGAACACCCCCACTGGGGCCTTCGGTGGAGCTCCCTATGGGCTACGAAACGCGTGAGAGGTGTGCCGAGAGCAGAGGCAAGGAGGGGGAGGAGGAGGAGGAGAGGAGAGGAACGCGGGGCACCGTCTCTTCAAAACGAGGAACCCAACACCACAGAATGGTTGGGAAAGAAAACATATTTGTCGGTTGCTTTTTCCTCTTGCTGCCGTTTCGGGCTATTTTAGGGCCCCTTGTAGGACGCCAGTCCACTGGACCCACCAGCACCCCTCGAAAGTGGCGGCAGTTTCGCAGATCGCAGCCCCCCCTCCCCAGGGATGGCGAGGTCCAATCTGAGCCCCCATAGGACGTCACTCTGCTGGGCCCCCCTGCAGCCCTCGAACGTTGGCCCTTTTAGGGCTCATTTGGGCGCCAAGAAAAGTCAATAAGGGCCCCAGGAGGGCTCCAAGAAGGCCCCAAGAGGGCCTAAGAGTGGCGCCAAAGAGCCGCCAAGATGGCCCCCCACGGAATCCGGGGGAATCCTGATCCTAAGGATCCTAAGGGATCCCAAGGACCCTAAGGAATCCTAAGGATCCTAAGGAGTCCTAAGGAATCATAAGGAAGCCTAAGGAATCGAAGTACTTCTGAAGAAGAAAGAAATACTTCTGAAGAAGAAAGAAATACTTCTGAATAAGAAAAAAGTGCTTCTGAAGATCCCATGGTTGTAATTGGTCCCATGTATGGTTGCAATTCGCTCCGAACGGTTGGAATTGGGACCAGTCGGTTGCAATTCGTCCCCTTTCGGGGGGAGGGGCGGGGGGAGGAGGAGGGAGGGGGGTTTTGGGAGAGAGGGAGTGGGGGGGAGGGGAGAGAGGCAGGCCGGAGAGACGCGAGGAGCCACAACCACAGATGGCCCCTCCTCCTCCTCCTCCTCCTCCTCCTCCTCCTCCTCCTCCTCCTCCTCCTCCTCCTCCGCCTCCTCGCGATCCGTCTGGCCCCTATGGGCCGCCAGGCATAGCAGAAAACCGAAACCCCGACACAAACTGAATCCATAGTTTCTCTGATAGGGCAACCATGCTGCCCCCTCCACCAGGGGACGAGGAGGAGGAGAAGGAAGGGGGAGGCGGAGGGAAAAGGAAGAGGGAGGGAGAGATTGAGTTGAGAAAAGGGGAGGAGGGAAGGAGGGCGACAGGTTGTTTCTGTGTCCAACTGGGGTTTTTTTGTGTCCCCGTTGGGTGTTTCTGTGTCCCGCGCCGCCCGGGGGTCCCCAGGATGAGTGTTTCTATGTCCGCTACGATGCCGTTCTAATGCGTTTCGTATTGTGCGACGAGACCCATCTTCTCGTGGAAATCAAACCGTTGTCCAATAGGGGAAACTTTTGCGTCCAGGATTTTGTGGACGCGGGACACTTTGGAGTTTCTGTGTCCGCCACCTTGTGCTCTTGTGGCATCGTGTGTATGTCATGCTTGTGGCACTACTACTACTACTACTACTACTACTACTACTACTACTACTACCACTACTACTACTACTACTACTACCACCACTACTACTACTACTCTACGACTACGACTACGACTACGAGTACTACGACTACTACGACTACGACTACTACTACGACTACGACTACCACTACTACTACTACTACTACTACTACTACTACTACTACTACTACTACTACTACTACTACTACTACTACTACTACTACTACTACTACTACTACTACTACTATAACTACTACTACTACTACTACTACTACTACTACTACTACTACTACTACTACTACTACTACTACTACTACTACTACTACTACTACTACTACTACTACTACTACTACTACTACTACTACTACTACTACTACTACTACTACTACTACTACCACTACCACTGCTAGGAGTTCAAAAGCGACGGGCCGGCATCCCCCAGATCTGCCACCAGACGCGTGGATCAGCCCTCCAGGGGGGGGTCGGCCTGAGGAAGGGGAGAAGGAGGAGGAGGAGGAGGAGGAGGAGGAGGAGGAGGAGGGGGAGGGAGGCGAGGATGGATGACGACGATGACGATCAGATCAGTTGACTTGGGCGCCGGTCGACACGACGCAGAAGCCATGGGCATGGCGGCCTGCAACCCCCAGCAGCCGTACGGCGCCACCAACGCGCAAGAATTACTGTAACTTTGTCTGGGCGACGGCCGGGGAGGGGGAATGGCGGAACTGCACCCTGCGACAACGAAAGGAGAGTTACTGTAACACCAGGCGCGGGACTGGGGCATGTGGCTCCAGCACGAGCGGCAGCGCATCGCAACGCCCGCGCGAGTTACTGTAACTCTGGGGCGTTCTCGCTCAAAGACACGGGACAAGTTATTGTAACATTGCATAAAACCAAAGCAAAACACAAACTCTGATGTTACAGTAAGACCACGGGACCGCAAATGTTACAGTAACTCCACGAAACGCAGAGAAATGTTACAGTAACGCCAGAAGGCGCAGCATTCCCAACAGACGCAATGTTTCAGTAACTCGACAGAACTGGCCTCCGGCATCGCGCCACCCGAAGCGGCGCGCAGCTTCCACCAGGACAGGGCGTTACAGTAGCAATTCTTGCGATATCTCATCTTTGTTCAAGGCAAAGTCCTGCGGTACATATTTAAGTGCTTCGTCTGGCAGCGATGCGAAAAAGGATAAATCCTCTGGTCTGTTCTCGCAGCAACGCCCCTCAAGGAATGGAGAAACAGAGGAGACAACAAATGCGCAAAAACAGCGGACAAAGAGGAATCCTTACAGACACGTGCAAGGACACCAAAAAAACAAACGCAAAGGACACATGGAGGAGGGGAAGAAGGAGCGGCCCCGAGCATCCCCACATAAAGGCTCTGTCGGGAAGTCCAAGAGGCTCTCTCGGGAAGTCCAAGAGGCTCTCTCGGGAAGTCCAAGAGGCTCTCTCGGGAAGTCCAAGAGGCTCTCTCGGGAAGTCCAAGAGGCTCTGTCGGGAAGTCCAAGAGGCTCTGTCGGGAAGTCCAAGAGGCTCTCTCGGGAAGTCCAAGAGGCTCTGTCGGGATCGGGAAGTCCAAGAGGCTCTCTCGGGAAGTCCAAGAGGCTCTCTCGGGAAGTCCAAGAGGCTCTCTCGGGAAGTCCAAGAGGCTCTCTCGGGAAGTCCAAGAGGCTCTCTCGGGAAGTCCAAGAAAGCTCTGTCGGGAAGTCCAAGAGGCTCTGTCGGGAAGTCCAAGAGGCTCTCTCGGGAAGTCCAAGAGGAAGTCCAAGAGGCTCTCTCGGGAAGTCCAAGAGGCTCTCTCGGGAAGTCCAAGAGGCTCTGTCGCTCAAGGAGGCTCTCAAGTCCAAGAGGCTCTCTCGGGAAGTCCAAGAGGCTCTCTCGGGAAGTCCAAGAGGCTCTCTCGGGAAGTCCAAGAGGCTCTGTCGGGAAGTCCAAGAGGCTCTGTCGGGAAGTCCAAGAGGCTCTGTCGGGAAGTCCAAGAGGCTCTCTCGGAAGTCCAAGAGGCTCTCTCGGGAAGTCCAAGAGCCTCCGTCGGGAAGTCCAAGAGGCTCTCGGGAAGTCCAAGAGGCTCTGTCGGAAGTCCAAGAGGCTCTCTCGGGAAGTCCAAGAGGCTCTCTCGGGAAGTCCAAGAGGCTCTGTCGGGAAGTCCAAGAGGCTCTGTCGGGAAGTCCAAGAGGCTCTGGGAAGTCGGGAAGTCCAAGAGGCTCTGTCGGGAAGTCCAAGAGGCTCTGTCGGGAAGTCCAAGAGGCTCTGTCGGGAAGTCCAAGAGGCTCTCTCGGGAAGTCCAAGAGGCTCTGTCGGGAAGTCCAAGAGGCTCTCTCGGGAAGTCCAAGAGGCTCTGTCGGGAAGTCCAAGAGGCTCTGTCGGGAAGTCCAAGAGGCTCTCTCGGGAAGTCCAAGAGGCTCTCTCGGGAAGTCCAAGAGGCTCTGTCGGGAAATCCAAGAGGCTCTCTCGGGAAGTCCAAGAGGCGCGCTCGGGAAGTCCAAGAGGCGCGCTGGGACACAGAAACTCCCAACCCAGACCCACTGCAAGACACACATACACTGGGACACAGAAACACCCGATCTGGACACAGAAACACTCATCGAGGACACCGAAACCCCCATCTGGACACAAAATCACCTTTTCTCGGGAAGGAGGACGGGGGGGAGGAACGATCCTCAAGCGATCCCCTACGACTGCAATGGATTCTCTCCATTCCTCGGCGACGAAGCACTTTCAGAGGCGCCTCGCGCAGTCCCGCACGGGCACACGGCGGCTGAATTCCTCGGCCCGCCGATGGCGGTAGATCGGATGCCAGCCACGCTCAGAGGTCATCCCGCTCCTCCGCGTCATCCTCCCCGGCCACCTCGGCTGGAGTGCATACCTGGCGTAGGAGGCGGACGAGGACGAGGATAAAACGAGGACGAGGACGAGGACGATAATGAGGATGAGCATGATGATGAGGATGATGGTGATGGCGATGGCGATGTTGTTGACGTTGACGTTGGCGTTGATGTTGACGCTGGTGGAGGTGGTGTTGGTATTGGTGATGATGGCGATGCTGATGGCGATGCTGATGCTGATGCTGATGATGGTGATGCCGATGGTGATGACAATGCTGATGATGACGATGATGACGATGATGATGATGATGATGATGATGATGCTGATGATGCTGATGATGATGTGGTAGATGATGACAATGGTGATGATGCTGATGCTGCTGATGATGCTGAAGATGATGACACCCGCTCAACACCTTGGCACAGAGAATACACTGAGGGCCAGAACTCAGCAGAATCCCCTCCTCCTCCTCCTCCTCCACCTCCTCTTGCTCCTCCTGCTCCTTCAATGTCCTCCTCCTACCGCGTCCTCCCACTCATCCCTCTCCCCCTCTCCTGCTATTCGAACTGCGACCCTGAGAACGTAGCAAACCCTTGAACCTTGGCTCCTCGTCCTACTCCTCCTCCTCTTCCTCCTCCATATTCACCTCCTCTTCGTCCTGGTCGTCCCGTTATGTTATGCAAGTCCATATAAGACGTTGGTGCCGGCGCTCCAAGCAAGAAGCGGGCAGACATGCAAGATGCTCAGCAACCCCCAGAATTTCTAGATGCCCGACCGCGGCATGGTTCCTCCTCCTGCTCCTCCTCATCCGCCTCTTCTCCTCCTCCCCTCGTCAGTCCTATCATGCTCATCCTCTCGCTCTCCTCCTCTCACTCCGTCCTCCCGGTCCCTATCTGTCTCTGCGCAGACGCAAGCAACTCAAATCGGAGAGCTAGACCACAACATTCTCAAGCTCTCTGTCTCTCTCGCTCGGTCTATCGTTCTTTATCGAAAGATGCGGGGTGAATCCCACGTGAAACGGAGACCCCCCCTACCGGGAAATCGATTTCGGTTTCGGGTTCGTGTCGTGCGCGCGTGCGGGCGAGGCGAAGCTGCGTGGGCGGGCGAAAGGAATTCCTCCTGTGGCTGGGCCGGGCCGGATTCAATGTTTCTCCTCCGGCGGCCGGTGGCCCGCGGTGTCCCGCCGGTGTCCCGCTGGTGTCCCGCTGGTGTCCCGAAATCCTCCTGTGGCTGGGCCGCGGCCGCACCAAACTGTTCTCCTCCGGCGGCCGGTGGCCCGCGGTGTCCCACCGCGGTGTCCCGCTGGTGTCCCGCCAGTGTCCCGCCGGTGTCCCGTGGTGTCCCGTGGTGTCCCGTTGAGTGAGATCGATAGTGAGATCGATAGTGAGATCGATGAGGTGTCCCAATGTGTCCTTTGGTGTCCTATGGTGTCCCGTTGAGTGAGATCGATGGTGAGATCGATAGTGCGACCGATAATGAGATCGAGAGATGTCCCGCGGTGTCCCGTGGTGTCCCGTTGAGTGAGATCGATAGTGAGATCGACAAATGTCCCGTGGTGTCCCGTGGTGTCCCGCTGAATGAGATCGATCGTGAGATCGACTGAGACAGATGTTGGTTCCCCCCCCTTCCTTCCCCCCCATAACCTCCTTATCACCCGAAGGGTGGTCGTATAGGTATGCATTTACGACCACCCTTCGGGTGAGAAGAAGGTTGTGTGGAGGGGAGGGGTGGGGCACCAACATCTGACTCCATCGATCTCACTATCGATCTCACTCAGCGGGAAACCACGGGACACCACGGGACACCACGGGACACTTGTCGATCTCACTATCGGTCTCACTGTCGATCCAACTCAACGGGACACCACGGGACACCACGGGCCACCACGGGACACCGCGGGACACAGAGGGACACCTCTCGATCCCACTTTCGATCTCACTATTGATCTAACTCAACGGGACACCATAGGACACCACAAGACACCACGGGACACCACGGGACACCTCATCGATCTCACTATCGATCTCACTATCAATCTCACTCAACGGGACACCACGGGACACCAGTAGATCTCACTATCGATCTCACTTCTTGGGGCACCACGGGACACCACGGGACACCTCGGGGCACCACATCGATCTCAGTATCGATCTGAGTATCGATCTCAAAATCGATCTCACGATCGATCTCACTCAACGGAACACCACGGGACACCACGGGTTCCTTGTCGATCTCACCATCGGTCTCACTGTCGATCTCACTCAACGGGACACATCGGGACACCACGAGACCCCATGGGCCTCCACGGGACACCGCGGGACACCTCTCGATCTCACTATCGATCTCACTCAACGGGACACCATAGGACACCACAGGACACGACGGGACACCACGGGACACCTCATCGATCTCACTATCGATCTCACTATCGATCTCACTCATCGGGACACCACGGGACACCAAAAGATCTCACTATCGATCTCACTTCTTGGGACACCACGGGACACTTCGGGGCATCACATCGATCTCAGTATCGATCTCAGTATCGATCTCACTATCGATCTAACTCAACGGGACACCACGAGACACAACGGGACACCGCAGGACACCGCGGGACACCGCGAGCCACCGCCAGACGGACGGACGGACGGGGGAGAATCATTTGTCTTCACTTCGCCCTAGCAACGGCGGACACCACGGGACACCACGGGACACCATGGAACACCGCGGGACACCGCGAGCCACCGCCGGACGGACGGACGGACGGGGGGGGAATCATTTGTCTTCACGTCGCCCTAGCAACGGCGGACACCACGGGACATCACGGGACACCACGGGAAACCACGGGACAACACGGGACACCGCGAGCCACCGCCGGACGGACGGACGGACGGGGGAGAATAATTTGTCTTCACTTCGCCCTAGCAACGGCGGTCACCACTGGACACCACGGGACACCACTGGACACCGCGGGACACCGCTGGACACTGCCAGACGGACGGACGGACGGACGGGGGAGAATCATTTGTCTTCACTTCGCCCTAGTAACGGCGGACACCACGGGACACCACGGGACACCACGGGACACCGCGGGACACCGCGAGCCTCCGCCGGACGGACGGACGGACGGGGGAGAATCATTTGTCTTCACTTCGCCCTAGCAACGGCGGACACCACGGGGAACCACGGGACACCACGGGACGCCACGGGACACCGCGGGACACCGCGAGCCTCCGCCGGACGGACGGACGGACGGGGGAGAATCATTTGTCTTCACTTCGCCCTAGCAACGGCGGACACCACGGGGAACCACGGGACACCACGGGACGCCACGGGACACCGCGGGACACCGCGAGCCTCCGCCGGACGGACGGACGGACGGGGGAGAATCATTTGTCTTCACTTCGCCCTAGCAACGGCGGACACCGCGAGCCACCGCCACCGACGGACGGACGGACGGGGGAGAATCATTTGTCTTCACTTCGCCCTAGCAACGGCGGGTTCATTCCTGTCGCGCGCCCACGCAGCTTTGTCTCGCCCGCACGCACGACACGAACGAAACGAAACGATTTCCCGGCTGTGGGTCGCCGTTCCAATGCGATCCCACTCCCCCACCTCCGATATATGTATGTCGGTGTGTATATATCTGTATGTACTGATATGTATATCCATAGATCAGCCCCATTCAGGACGGGAGTGGTTTGACGAACTTCCTCTTCCATCTTCCCCTCTTCTCCTTCGGTGAAGGGCTTCCGCTCGCTCCGTCCCCTCCCCCTGGGTCTGGACAGAGCCTCTCGCGAGGGGCCAGAGCACCCAAGATGGCGACGGCGAGGAGCCCAACCTCACTGTTGTTACTAAAAAGTTTTGGCCACGTGTTGGCCTCCCGGGGAGGGCACAATTGGAACCTCCACCTTCCTTCGAGTAGGGGATCAGCTACATAATTGAATTGCCCCAATTTAGCTTGCTCGTCGAATCCATGAGAGATGCGTGGATGATTTGTAGGTCTACGAACATTCTACGTATAACTCGACGAGAAAATCAATGTCGGGGTAAATCAATTCTGTAGTCGATCCCCCACTCGATTCTTTGACCCATCACCTCCAGGATGGCCCCAAAATGGTGGCCTCCGAGGCTCCCAAGAGTGAGCCACGAGGACTCGAAGAGGCGCCCAGGAAGCTCCAACAGGCCCCCAAGATGCCCCCAAGATGTCCCCAAGTGGCTCCCAAGGGTGCCCCCAAGAGGCCCCAAGAGACCCCCAAAAAGCATCCAAGACGCCCCAAGAGGCCTCGGCGAGACGGCATAAATCCATGATTTGGTTTGGGCCACACGTTGGCTTCCTGGGGGGGGGGCCTAATTCAAGTAAGAACTCCCCTCTCCGTTGATCGACCTCCTCCACGATGAGCCCAAGATGGTCCCCTGGGCTCCCAAGAGTGCCCCAAGAGGCGCCCAGGAGGCCTCAGGAGGCCCGCGAGAGGCCCCGAAGAGGCCCCGAAGAGACCCCCAAGAGGCCCCAAGAGGCACCACAGACGCGCCAAGAGGCCTTGGCGAGAAGACCAACATCTCTGACGTGACGAAGATGTTGGTCACATGTTGGCCTCCTGGGAGGGGGGACTCACATGTACGAAGGCCCCTCCTACGATTGATCTCCTCCAAGACGGCCCCACGATGGCCAACGGGGCGCCCAAGGGAACTCCAAGACGGTCCCGAGAGGTGCCCAGGAGGCCCCAAGGGGCCCCCGAGAGGCTCCCAGGATTCCCCCAAGAAGCCCCAAAGAGACCCCCAAGAGGCCCCAAGAGGCTCCGCGGAGGCACCCAAGACCCGAGAGGCCCCCGGGACTTCCAAGAGACCCCCAAGGTACCCCAAGAGGACTCCAAGAAACTCTCGGAAGGAATCCAAAGAGACTCCGAGAGGCATCCAAGAGGCTTCTGGTCGTTCTGCTTGCCCTCATCCCTCCTCCTCCTCCTCCTCCTCCTCCTCCTCGTCCTCCTCCTCCTCCTCTTCCTACGCCTCCTCCTCCTCCTCCTCCTCCCCCTCCTCCTCCTCCTCCACCCCTCCTAGAACTCCCCCTCCTCCTCCTTCTCCACATCCTCCTCTTCTTCATTTCTCATTTCTCCGACTGTTATTATAGTTTGTCCTCCTTTTCCTCCTTCTCTTTTTTCATCAATCGCATAGTCCTCCTCATTCCTCCTCCCTCCTACCCCTCCCCCCCTCCCCCCCCCTCCTCCTCCTCCTCCTCCTCCTCCTCCTCCTCCTCCTCCTTCTTTGCCTGCTCCTCCGATTCCTTCTCCTTCCTCCCCTTGGGGTATGACGTCTCACCCAGCCCTTAATTCCACTGCGTGCTCCCCCACATCCTTGATCAGGGCTACTCGTCTGGGCATCGTTTCTGGATGGGCTGGTGGGGTTACTTTTTGTCGCAGCCGCAAGCGAAGGCGCAGGCGGCGTCAAGGGTCTCGAGCGAGATACGCGCGGACCTAATTGCCTAATGCCGACAAGCCGGCGGCCTAAGCAGCACCTAAGCTGACTGGGCAGCGCGAGGGGGTGCGGGCTGCAGCTGCCAGGAACCAGGCCCAGGAGCGAGCGCATGCATAATCAGCCAACCGAGGTTGGAGCGCAGCCAAAATGGCGCGGGGGCGATACCAGGATGTGGCCAGGAGCATCATCACTGGGAACGCGCTGGGCCAGGAGAAACTCACTGGCCATGGAACTAGTGCATGGAAGTGGCGCCACCAAAGTCGCACACAACGAGACTACTGAAGCTGGTGGGATTACGCGAAGCGTTTAAAATATCGGATTTCCCTCGCGAAGAGGTGTGCCTGCCCGGGCTTGAGGCAGGCGAGGCGGTAGAAATTGAACTCCGTGGCCCGCGTGCCCTTGGCGGACAGCACTGCCTCCCCACGCTACCAGGGGGTGAGGCAGGAGGAGAAAGAGGCTTTGATTGGGGAGGCTTCGAGAGGTGCTCCTCCTTCCTCATCCTCCTCCTCCTCCTTCTTCTTCTCCCCCCTAATTATCCTCCTCGAAGAGCTGCCAAGCCCGACCTGGCCCACTCCCCCGTTATCGTGGTCGATGTCATGGAGCATCCCAGCACAGAGTCCAGAGAGCCTTCTCCTCCTCCTCCGACGACGACGACTCACTTCTCCCTCCCCCACACGCGTGGGCAGGAGGACAAGGAGAGCCATCTCTGATCCCTGCCTGCGCAACGCAAAACATGAGAAGGACAAAGATGTCACCACGAAGGAAGTCGATGCCGCTTACCTTTTCACTCTGCATCGATACGGAACTTCATCTGCGGGGGGGAGGGAGGAACACGATGGGAAAGAAGAAGAAGAGGCGGAGGTGGAGGGAATCGGCATGAATGAAGCGGGATCTGAAGGACACAAGTCCTGCACTTCTGGGGCCTCCCTCCGAGGCTAGCTCTTCATCATGAATTGCTGCTTGACGGGGGCCCGTGGACGGCCCCGTCAACCCGAAAAGTGTGGGACAACTTGCGGGACCCACGAACCCGGTAAGGAACGTGAATTACACGCTCGTCCGACACGCGTGCAGCACAGTCAACCCGCATAATAAGCATGGGCAGCCTTCCCAAGGGTACCCTTGCATCCTTGCCCCCTCGGTCCATCTTTCGCCACGTTCGTTGGCCGCGCCCCGCTCGAAGAGCTTTGAATTGGGCGTCCAAGGCCCTTGCATCCTTATCGCGCATCCTTACTGCACGGGTTGACTGAACTTTCCCTTCGCTTGGCTACAACTACTACCTACTGCACGTCCTGGGGGACGTGGACACATGAAAATGCGTGCCCCCCACGCGCGCGCGCCGGGCGCATGTTGGACGTTGGGTCGCCTCGCCTCCGCGCACGCATTTTCACGCGTACAGAATCCGACGCGCCCACGTCGGGTCCCCCCCTCTGGGGGCCGTGGACACGTGGAAATACGTGCCCCGCGCGCACGCGCCAGGCGCACGTTGGATCCACGCCCAAGTTGGGTTCCCCCTTTGGGGCCATGGACACGCGAACATGCGCTCCCCGCGCTCACGCGCCAGGCGCACGTTTGGCCCCCCACCGCGCGTGTACTTCTGCGGGGACAGTGGACACGCGAAAAGATATGCCCCGCGTGCACGCGCCAGTCGCATGTCGGGTCCCCCCCTCCGCGCGCGTACTCTTACGTGTGAAGAATCTGGCGGGCTCAAGTGTTGGTCCCCCCTCTTGGGGCGATGGACACGTGAACGTACATGCCCGCAGACGCGCCACGCGCATGCTGGATCCCCCCCGCGCCCAAGTTGGGCCCCCTCTTCTGGGGGCCGTGGACACGTGAAAATACATGGCCCGCGCTACCGCGCCAGGCGCATGTTGGGCTTCCCCCCTCCGGGTACGCATTTTCGTTGGCGCCGTGGACGCGTGACAATGCGATCCCCGCGCGCACGCGCCAGGCGCATGCTGGGCCCCCGCCCCCGGCGCACGTGCCTTCGCGTGCACAAGCGCCCGGCGGGACTGCGGCCCCGCCGTGGCCAGAAGCCTGCACTTGCCGAGCGCACGCGTGCCGAGATTCATGTTGGAGACACCCCCCCCTTCTGCGCACCCCGAAGAGTTACGTGTCCAGTTCCGACGCCTGCTGCTCGCCGCCCTTCTGGTGGAGGGCCTCTGGCCCGCAGGCCAAAAGTGAGCCGAGGGCGGGGGCTCGTTTTGTTCGAGGGGGCCGCCTGCTTCATGGTGACGGGCGTCCCCTATCAAAAGAAGAAGGGAGGAGGAAGAGGGATGAGGAGGAGGAGGAGGAGGAGGAGATTAGGATAGGATGAGAAGGAAAAGGAGGAGAAGATAGGAGGAGGAGGAGGAGAAGGAGGAAAGAAACAGTGTAAACCCAAGACTCATCAACGATGTTGGAATGCACCCTTCCTCCATGCTCCTTCTTCGCAGGCCCTTTTAAGGGTTCATTCCACAGAAGAAATTGCCCCCTTGGGGGACAACCGTGTGAAAATCCTGGAGCGTGCCAAAACACCGTTCTCAGGACTTCAATGCCACGAATTAACCTGACGGTTGCGTCTTGGCGATCCGGAATCGTGCCAAAACACCACTCCTGGGACCTCAACACCGCGAGTCAACGTCACTCTTGCGCCCTGACAATACTGAACCGTTCCAACACACCATTTCTGATACGGTAACCACGAGAATCAAAACAAGCCTTGCCATACATTACAATGAATGTGCGCGGCGCAAAAGCGAGAACCACGTATTGAAAAGAAGCCACCCTCGATCCGCGAAACTCTGGCAAATGCTTGAACGAATGTGCGCGGCCCTAAGGCGGGAACCATATGCTGAACACCACCCGCCCTCAATCTGTGAAGCTCTTACGATGTGTTTAAATGGCACGTTCTCTATCCGTGAAGCTCTTGCAAGTGTTTAGAGCGTATGAGCGGGGCACTACGGCGAGAGCCAACTGTTGGGATCGACGCGCCCTCCGTCTGCGAAAATGTTGCCTTTACAGCTTCAGGGTTGTAAATGGTAAGGGCGTCTCAGGCGAAACGCCTGGCTCGCCGTCCCGACTAGCCTCGGGGTGCGACAGGGAGGAGTTCTTCATAAGCAAAGGAATGGATGAGGGAAGCGGAGGAGGAAGGAGGATGGAGGAAGGGGGAAGAAGCAAGGAGGAGGAAGGAGGTGGAAGAGGGAGGAGGAGGGGACGCTACAAGAAGGACGAGGAGGAATAAGAAGGACATGACAAGAGAGGAAGGAGGGGGAGGAGGGTGGAGGGGGGAGGAGAAAGAGGAGGAGGGAGGGGGAGGAGAAAGGATGAGGAGGGAGGAGGAAGAGAAGGAGGAGGAGGAGGAGGAGGACCACGAAGAGAAGAAGAGGGGAGCGCCAGAAGAAAGAGGAGGACGAGGAGGAGGAGAAGGAGGAGAAGGGAGGAGAAGGATGGCGCTCGGAGGCTCGCACGCAGCCTCCAGAGGCGAGGAAGAGGAGGGATCGCAGAAGGAAGAGAAGCAAGAAGGGAGGGAGGTTGGAGGAGGATCACAGCCGAATTCTTTTTTTTTCTGGGTTGGCCTCTGAAAGATCTCGGGGGTCCCAGTGAGTGCTCAGGGCCTCGGGCGCCGACGACGAATGAACGACCACGCTCCCGTGGCAACCATCCCAACAGACGGAAGCCGACGGCGGAAAGCAAAGCACGGCGGGATCACAGCCGAAATCTGATCAAGAGACTTATAAGTTTAAAACTCTGGGCCAGCTTCCCGGAAGCTTCTTGACACAAGCCTGGGCCAGGATCTGATGTGGACGCTGGAAGACGAACGTGTTCGAGAAGCTGGGCCAGCTCCCTGGCAAGCAGGTTAAGAAACGCTGGCCCAGCTCTTCTGGAGGAGGTCAATTAACCATACGCTCGACCGTAGGAGAACACGTCAGCGCGCAGAGCTCGCCAGGGGCGGCGCTGGAGGCGCCGCTAGGGGGCCCAGCGCTGATCCAAGAGATCCTCGCAGACGTCCGACAGCTTATGCGTGTGCGTCTTGGATTGCTTCTTCGATGGAGGCAGGTCCACGAGCAATCTCCCCGACGGCGGCGGCTACAATGACGACGACGATGATGACGGAAACGGACGACCCGCGACCTCCGGATGTCCCTCGAGGCTCCATGGAGGCCGCTGCAAGCCTCCAGAGGCCCAAGCAGGGCTAGCAATGTAGAGCAAATCGATCCTCGAACCCAGAGCATGACGACGACGACGACGACGGCGATGACGACGATGACGACGATGACGACGACGACCAACGACCAACGACCGACAACAAATGACTCACGACCAAGGACTTACAGTAGGCACGCGATAAGCAATCCGCCGACCGCCTGGGGTTAATCGTCGTGTGAGATGTCCCCTCTCCCAGAAGCCCGGTCCGGTCGATTTGAGGCCCCCCGGGGGCCGCTCCAACGCGTCTCATGGGGGGCAGAGGGCCCCAAAACATACCGAAAGGGCACCAAGAGGCCCTCTGGACGATCCAACAAGGCCACGAGCCGCCGAAAGATCGATCGAAAACACCCACGCTGGCCTCCAGATGGCCCAAGAAGCCCCCAAGACGCCCCACGAAGCCCTCAAGAGGCGTCCCAAGACGGTCTCAAAGAGCAAACATCTCGCCGTCTCCGTGGGGACACCTGCATTGTTAGCACATCCGCCTCTTCTGCGATCACAACGTCCACGACAGCCCAAGAAGCCTCCTGGGTCTCCCCACGACGGCCCAAGAGACTCCCAAGAGGGCTCTCAGACGACCCAAGAGGGCCCCAAGACCGCTCAAAAAGCCAGCCAAAATCATACCAAGAGGGCACCAAGAGGCCCTCTGGTCGGTCCAAGACGGCCACGGGCAGCCGAAAGATCTATCGAAAACGCCCACGCTGGCCTCCTGACGGGTCGCGCCAAGACGGACCAAACTGCTCCCAAGAGGGCTCTCAGACGACCCAGGAGGGCCCCAAGACGAAGAGGCCCTGTGAACGGTCCAAGTGGGCCACGAGCCGCCGAAAGATCTATCGAAAACGCCCACGCTGGTGTCCAGATGGCCCAAGAGGCCCCAAAGACGCCCCACGAAGCCCTCAAGAGGCGTCCCAAGACGGTCTCAAAGAGCAAACATCTCGCCGCTTCCATAGGGACACCTGCATTGTTGGCACGTTCGCCTCGTTTGCGATCACAACGTCCAGGACAGCCCAAGAAGCCTCCTGGGTCACCCCAAGACGGCTCAAGAGACTCCCAAGAGGGCTCCCAGACGACCCAAGAGGGCCCCAAGACAGCTCTAAAAGCCCCCACGGCGGCCCAGGAGGGCCCCGCGACAGCCCCGAGAGGGCGTCCAGAGGGAAAACATAGACGAACAATTCGAGCCTTCTACTCCGAACCGACACCCGGTTGTCTCCCAGGGAGCTCCACGAGGCCCCAA